AATCAGAGGAGGTGTGCCAAATTTGCCTTTTCTCGTCGCTACCCTCTCCACTCATGGCTGGCTCAAAAGATCGCATCCTGAACAATCACCAAGCCTACATCATCGCCGCCATATTGCACGCCGAGTTTGCTCCCACTGTAGCTATGATGGACCCTAATTTCACTGGCTACGCTGCTGTGTCGCAATGGGCCTCAGCGCGTCAAACCCGCCTTTATGAAGACCACTGGGACGCCTTTCCGCGTCTAGGCGGATTCAGGCCCCCGATCGGCGTCAGACGGGTTCGTGCGCTTCATCCGTGACACCTGCTTGTTCTTATACACACTTGCTTAGGCTGTGGACCGTAAATTTCGCAACTATTACCGCAAGTTGCGCTCTGCCCACACCAACGCCGTTGTGGACGGACAAGATTGAAGTGTTTGATTGAGCGTACGTCATACACTTCATAGATGGAGCACAAGCCTTACAGTGTGTTACGCAGGCTTTCCGGTATTACACATGCGCCCTGAAGCGTCTCGACCGCGCATGCTGTGCTCGTTTCGTTCTTCTTCTTGTTCTACAGGCTCGCAACGTCTGCGTGTTTCCAATGTAAGGCTGCTACTAGTCACTGCCGCTTTTCTAAGCATTTGCCAACAAGGAACAGTCCTTCGATAACGTGACCCGTGTTCCCGCTGCAGTCCTCAATGTTCATGTTGTATAAGTGTGTTGTCCAAGAATACACGGCTACCCCGCATGCTTTGGCGACTCACGCGATGATCAGCGAGCTCGAAGGAGTTCTAGATTTGCTATAGCCAGACCAGGCGTCGCGCGCTCGCTGTGCCGTACCGCATCTCCCATAGTCTTCTTGTGTACATGGTTCGCTATCTTATGGTACAATGGGGATGTGGGGCCCGCCTTTGAGCCCATCGGTGCGAACTTCATGGTCTGCGACGCCTACGATTTGATTAGCTGGAGCATCTGTTAGTCAAACAGATGTATCTAACTGTTGCCACATACCCTTGAATAAACCCTGCTCTTGCCTGGATTGTGTGCATGAGGTGGGGGGTCTTGTACTCAGATCCGTTGGAAATGTATGTCCAATGAGCACGCTGTGGAGACATGGACGCGTGGATTCCCTCTCCTCAATGCATCTACGGCTCATCTTGCCAAGACAGCGTCGATCATTCTTCTGTATTCTGTTTGCCGCACGCCTGGTGCACGACCCGTGACCATCCACAGTGGTGTACCTGTGCAAATTTGCTGAGGACCTCGTAGTCGGCATCTCATCGCCGCCGTTTTTGTAAGGCCACTTCATGCACTGTCGTGCCGTTCTCCATATTGTCTCTGGTGTAGGTGGACTCGAGCTATTCGAGGCACACAGGGTCACTACGCTATGATTACGGTTCAGAGCTCGGAATTCCTACGGGGATGGCCCTTGCTGTCTCGACCGTGCGAATGACGATGCCAGGTTGGACTGCAAAGGCAACATGACACACTGTCCTCTTCACGAGACTTCCTGCTACATTCAACGCATTCCCATGGCTCATCGATAGGTCATGATTCATCAATAGCCTAGTGTACTGCACATGGAAGCATGTGCGATGATCAAACAGAAAGTTCGCAGGTGTGCTTCACAGACCGCCACAGCCGTTTGCGGGTGCAGTAGAACACTCCACGCGGAGGGATCGAGTGATCCTGGTGAATCTCACATCTGCTGCGCCATATACAAGTACGTTAGATCAAATACTGTGTTTCATAGTATGTGCACTCACGAGAATGCTGTGGACTCTTTCGTCCAGGGTTGGACGCTAGGCTTCTATGCCGGTTGCCCGGACCACTGACACTATAATAGATTGGGTCACAACGTCCTCTGAGACCTTACAGGACCTTCCTATCATGTCTCCATCCAAGGGCGCTCTTCGTGCCAACGTTCTCAGGTCTATAGAGGAAGATTTTCGTCGAGCACTGAAGTCGCGCGCGGGGCCTATCGATATGGATCTTGTTACATACCGACGCCGTCGCTGCAGGAGTCTCGGCCATCACCTTCGAAAGGACATTCAGTGCTTTACCGGCACTCCGGACGACGGTCGATGGTTCGTTGAGGTGCGTTCGACAGGCTACTATACAGTGTGGCAGTCGCTCACTTGAAAGACTACTTCAGTGTCCCTTACCCCATCCGGGAGACGTTACTGGCAGCGGAGGAGTATTCATATATGTCTCTTTTCCTCTTGATCCAAGGGTTTTGCAGGAGTTGCGAGATGACATGTTTGCTCGTCAGTTGCAAGCTCAACAGCTACTTCCTTCGGGATCTGAACCGCCTGTTCATGTACGTCCCAGTCAACTATCCAAGATTCGGGAACGACAGGGCTTACATCGTCATAGAGACGGTCTAGCCCAGCCCCTCGTAAACGCGCTACTGGGAGGGAACTTCGTGCGGATTCAGCGAGGCCGTATGCAAATCGTCTCGGCTCGTCTACGAGCGCTTTTCGCGAGCTCCTCATCCCCAAGTCGGCACCTGCAGCGCCAAGCTCATCTCGTGCGGAGTGCATCGAGATCTCAGACTCGGATTCGGACGCAGGATCCCAACAACGTAAACGCATTCAGTCACGCAGTCCAAGCTTGGAGTTCCTTCCGACACCGCCACCACAAAGGCCCCCTACAAGTTTTACCGTGTGGCTTTTCTTGAGGGTAAGTCCTTAAGTCCTGACACACTGCCCCATTTACGCGACAAGCTATCCTCGTTGAACTGAATCTCAGCGGCTTGAACCTCCGGAGGTCATTCGTCTCGAGCCGCATCATGGCGCCGATGTCGTACTTTTCCGGGAATATGACAGTCAGTGGGAGAAGCTAGGGCTCAAGATATCCGAGCGGGTCAAGGTTTTGGCAGCCTCAATGGGTGAAGAATACTTGTGGCAGTTTGGTCGTCTCTGCGACATACGTGTCCCAGTCGATGTGCGGTCTATTGTCCTTGCGGGTTTGGATGTAGAGGATTACCACGTGCGTATGAAGACACTCGCCAAGCATGCCTACACAGGAAGCTGTACGTCCCGAACCCTGATCAGACAGCGAGTTGATACTCAGATTCAACAGTTGTACAAGATACTAAATAGGCCAACTCGAGCGACGAACGTCAAAGCTCGTCGACCGGAGAGATGGAAGGTCTGTCGACGCCCCCAGTCACTGAACGATGTTTGTCCACGAAAGCAGCCGAAACTCCGTAGATGGCTATGCGATTCCTCCGTAGCCTCTGCACATGTATTGCGACTGCATGTGCGTACCTGTAGCGCCCTCAGGG